GGAGGGAGCATGAGATTTGTCACATGCATAATTCCTTGTCTTGTTCAGCACTGCCCAAAGGACCCTGCTCTGTTAATTATCTTATTATGCATGCTGTGACAGTTGTAAGTCCCTCTTGCAGACCTGGCACCTAATTGCAGCATGAGGGCAGGAAAAAACTGCCCAGAGCACCTCGAGTGTACTTGAAGTCTCCAGTATCCTACCTGGGCTGTGCTGGATGCCTGTTTTGTGCAATAGTAAACCCAAAGGCCATAACAACTCTTCATGTAGTCATCTTCAGCTTACCCTAAATGTTTTTTTAACATGATCAAACATTATCAGCTGCTGTTGGCTTCATTTCTACTAGCAGGTGTGTGTACAAAGAGGGGGCTTGAGATAGCCTGCCCTGAAGGAGGGAGGGAGAAGTTCCTCACATCTGCTGTAAAGTGCTTCCCACTGGAAAATCCTGGTTTGTCTTGCAGCCCTGTTGCTCAGTGACATTGCAGACAAAGTCCATTTCCCTCATTGAAAGTTGTTTCTAGCCCATAGGATGAGTGAACAAGTGAATGGGCATAATGTTAAAAGTTCATCGACAAGGTGCCTCGACTATGTGAAATAAACACTTAGTAATTGACTTTGACTTGGGAATATCATGCCAAGTGGATTTAAGTGGATATATTCTTCCACCCTTTCTTAAAGTACATCTCAGCTGCTCTCCTGCTGCTGTGGTATTAAAACTTTGTAGTACCAGGCACTGTCAGTGCTTAATCATGTAACAAGACAGCCAAATACAAGTTAGGAAGCCAATTAAAAAATACTTTCTTCTACAGGATTTTTTACTGTGGCTTGGCTCTGTCCATAGGTAGATCAGTGTAGGAGACGCTGTTCAGAAAGTAAAACACTTCTGTTTGCACCCAATTTCCATGAGTGTAAATTGGTTCTTCAGCACATGCTTAAATTCTGTTCCCCAGCTTGGAGGCAAGTTATTCTACCAAGCCAGGCACAAACTAATGGACCAGGAGATCAGCTCCTGCTTGAGCTGCTCTATGATACTGGCTGAGTTGGTTATGCTTTGCTTTCAGTGTAAAGGAAATTACATCTCTATTTTTTTTTTTTTTTGTACCTTTTTTGTATGTTCAGGTGGCAAATTCTTCAAAGTGGATTGCATAGATTAGGAAGATCTTTACATCAGATAACTTCATGTACCTGAGCTGGGGGCTAATACTGCAATAAGGAGTGACAGAAGAGCCATCCTGATGGTGTTTCATTTGGCTTTTGCTGTGACTTTATGGATCCAAGTTGAGGGAGGGAAGATTTAGGTTGGATGTTAGGGGGAAGTTCTTTACAAGGAGAGTGGTTAGGCCCTGGAACGGGCTGCCCAGGGAGGTTGTGGATGCCCCGTCCTTGGATGTGTTCAAGGCCAGGTTGGACGGGGTCCTGGGCAACCTGATCTGAATGTGTATGTTTGGTGGCCCTGCTAGGCAGGGGGGTTGGAACTACATGATCCTTGAGGTCCCTTCCAACCCCGGTGATTCTGTGATTCTGTGTGTGATTCTGTGACTTCATCGCCAGAGGAGCCACCACTCTGTGTGAGGCAGCAAAACCTCAGTCTGTCCGAGAATTTAGGGTATTACTGATTAACATGGGCGTTTTCAGAAATGTGCTGATGTTATGAGTAGTTGTGAGTAATAGTAGAAGAAGTAATCAGCAGTTTGAGGCACCTTGCAATGTGTATAATGTCATTTATCCCAAGATATTTAGAAGAGAATATTCAGAAGAGCGTGGCCTCTTTCTAGAGAACAAAAGTGGCTGAAGTGCAGCCAAGTCAGGGATGAAAGAGAGTTTTTGTTGTAATACCATGGAGTGAATGTGCAAGATCTTTAGGATAGAAAGAGAGTAAAAGGGTTGTCCTATCCCTCCAAGTTTGTGCACCAGCTTTTTGTATGGGAGAAAAAGGTTATTAGAATAGCTGTTTGCACCAAGCCATTGCTCTTCTGGCCTAGTTCAGGAGGGCTTAATTTGAGAGAGAAAGCAGTTAGTCAACATCTACTTGCAAGAAAAAATGTGAGGGGGAAAAGAATTAAAAAAAAAACAAGAAAGCAACCCATCTATTCATGTGGAGTGAGATCTTAGTGTTCTCATGTATTTCTTAATCCTACTCTTCCAGATGCTTTAAATTATAGTTTAGCAAGGTATTAAACAGACATAACTTCAAATATGAACAGAAAAAAAGGCACAAATGGGGCAATTCTAGGTACAATAAACCATGCTTGTCATTCAGAGACCTCATTCATTCTTGGACCGAAATTGCAGTTAGGATAAAATTCATAAAAATGGTACTATCTTATTCAGCAAATCTTTCCCTTGGCTTTTAACTCAAGGTATAGCTTTACAGAATGAATAGGGTTAAAAGAACTTTTTTTTTTTTTTTTTTTTTTTTTTTAAATTAAGGTTTAGTTGTTTCTAGCTGGGCAGGTCAGCTGGTGTCTCTGGTCTGCCTAACGGTGCTGATGAGATGTGAAAAGGATCAAACAAATGAAAAGAAACTGCCAGTGGCTCTTCAGACACCAGGTAAAGCAAACTGACGAAAAATTAAGGGAAACCCTTCTTGCTGTAAGAAAGTTGCAAGGTCAGGCTTAGAGAATTGAGGTTATTGTGAAGTTTTTGGAAGCTCCTTGTGCTACTCACATTAGTACTGTGCTCCTGCCTGGTTTACATCTCAGACACCTGAGTGATCTCAGCACTAATGATTTGTTCAGGTGCTACTCAGCAGTAACTGGGAGGACAGAGATTGGCTTTACTTAAATGGATACTAATTCCTCTCTGCATCTGTTTTGGCTGAGTGCAAGGAAAAACGTGTCCTTTAGCTCTGTCTCTTCCATTAAATATATTTTGGTTGAATTTGCTTTGCAGTGCTGTTGGTGGGGAAAAAAACCCAACCACCTAATGTTAAAATTTATTACTTAGTCAAACTGTCCAGCATTTTACAAGACTGAAACAGAGAGCTGAAGTCTGCTATGTAAGTCTTCTAAAATCAATGCATTTAAATAGCATGCTTAACAACAGGGTAGCAACTTCAAGTCTCTGGTTATGAGAACTTTCTCCTTAGGGTGTTGTAACACTGGAGGCCAGTGACATGCTTAACTTCTCCAGGTGAAGGCTTATTCTGTGACAAGTCATGTCCTGGAAGTGCATTAATATTTTGGTGAGCATTTGCTTCTCTGAGCAAGTCGAGTCAGATCAGCCACTGGATGAGAATTTTCCTCCATTTTAAGACTTTAACTGTATGTTAAAGTACTTGGTGCCTCTGGCCTGCTAGGTGCACTTGGAGGTTGTATTATTTAAATCTGTAGCTGATGCTAAAGAGTTAATAATAAATTAACTGGGAAAGCGTGCAGTCCTTAGAGACAGAGTACAGTTTCAGAATATGAAAGAACTCTCAAGTGATAGGACTAGGAGAGAAGATGGAAGTTTTGTGTGTTTCTCTGCATACTTACAAGAGGTGTGATAATTACTGATAAGTTTTGTTCAGATATTGCTAATAGATTTCATTCTTCTCTGGGGAAACATTCCCATTACAGAGTAGAGCATAGATGGTACAAATCAGACCTGCATTGTCTGAAGCTCTGGCATCAAGAGTTTCACTTCCAAAGTCTCTCATCATCCTTGTTCTCACCCTTCTTTCTGGACAGTTTGCAGTGTTTGAGATCCTTTGATTTGTTTATAGACAGAATAGACAGGGAACTCTATGATTTCCATAATACGAAAGTGAGAGGTAACAGGAGAAGGCAAAATTTCTCAAGCCTTCTAGTGATCATTGTTAAATATGAATTTCTTGTGTGTGGAAGTTTGAATAACCTTCTTTACTCGGGCAGAGTGTGCTGCTGACTACATTCTAAACAAGGCTCTTCAACAGAGTCCTTAGGATCATTTTGTCACTATAGGAGCTTTGATTTTGCTGGCATAAGACTGAAACTTGCATTTCTGTTATCTGAGGGAATGCCTGTAGATGAGAGCTTCTAAACTGGGTGAAGCTCTACCATCAAAGATGTACTTTCTGTTGTTTAAATAAAGCCACTTTTAAAAACATGGTTCACCTGGTATAATATAAATATGTCTTCTCTGGGAGATTGTGGTAACAGGGATGTTGGAAAAGGATCAAGGTCATCAGACCCCCTGACAGATGGAATGCAAAATATGAACTTAGCTATGGCCAACAGCCTCAAGCACACAATCATGTCCATATGGCTTAATATATGCCAGGTGATTGCTGGTAACTGCATTGTCTTACCAAGCAAAAATGTGAACTAAATGTGTTAACTAAGCCTCTTCTGTAGATGTTTATGTAAATGTGCATTCCCTCCTATTTGTGATGGATATGAACACACAGAGGGAGGGCTGCAGGAGCTCGGCTGATGTGTGATATCTCACACTACAGTGAGTTCTGTCAGGAATTCCCTTGCTTTGCCTTTAGACATGTGATGACAGGCAGATTGGGAGTTACTCTAGTCACTGCCTTGATTTCCCTGCTGGTTTTCTGTGAAAAGAGATGCTGCTGAGAAACATCTTTCCTTTTCTCCTCCTTTTCTACAAAGTTCGTTTGCAAGGATGGATTTGGGGGGAATGTTCTACAAGAGTTGGCTCTGCTGCAGTTGGCATCTGTCCAAACCCAGTTTTCTCAGTGTGCAGAAAAAGCCATGAGCACAGCCCATATTGGCTTCAACCGAAGCACTCCAAGGGTATGGAAACAGTCCCTGTGTTGTTGGGATTACAACATGGGCCTCCATTACAAGGTTTGGAGTATTTTACTCCAGACCTAGTCAGAGCTTTGCTGCAAGACTCATTAGGATACGGGTGTACAAGTAGCATATAAGTATTTTTCATGTCCTGTATAGAGGAATCCAGCAAGAACTCTTTGTTCATAGAAATGGATAACTAAAAACTATGGCTTGATTTTATAACTTTTCCCTTCCTTCTTTTGGCATCCTAACAATTTGTATTTTTTCTGTTTGCTCATGCAGGAACTACCTCTTCAGACTTAGTCTACACAACGTTTCTCTTATTCAGGTATGTCCACTGTTTTGTCTTTTCCTTTATTTGACTTACTAACGAATTTTTTGTAGTATTTGATGTGCATTTTTTTGAAGGCTGTGGAGTGTAAATTTGCCCAGAGTGGTGGAGCAGGGAGAAGTCAAAGTGAGAACATAATGCATATTTCCACTCCAACAATAACGCTAGGGGAAGGGCTCTTCTACACTTGCCCATTTGAACAGCACTGCCTGCTCTTGATTCGTGAGTGTCTGGGTGGTAATGAGATGTGCCAAAAATATGGCATCTTAGAGGAACAAAACATGTAGTGTAACTGATACAGGCTTAAACAGAACAAGGAATAGAAATCCTTGGCTTTCGTTAGAGGAGGTGTCAACAACACAGGAAAAGCTTTTACTGTTCTTGTCTATCCCCATTTTTAGCCTTTGTTGGCCCTCATTGAACATGGACTGCTGAGAAGCTGTGTTTTGTTGAACGTGTTACTAAAACCAAGACTTGCAAGCATTCAGCAGGCGAAATGTGCTGCAAAATACGTGTTAACCATGGCAGAGTGGAGGCAAAGCAGCTGAAGTTTGAAGGGATTTGTTAATACTCAGCAGTGTTAGGACTTTCCTCTCACTGCACTAAACCTGGAATTGAAAGATGATGAAAAATTTTTTTATGAAAACTCCAACTGCTTATCTTTAAATGAATACCTGTGATCTGGAATATTTCCTATATTCTACAGTTGTTAGGGCACCAAAGATGTATTCAGCATTTTTCAGGCAGATGGAAAGGTCTTCTTTCTCTGCATGGCTTTATAAAGAAGCCATTGGGCTAATATTTTCAGCCTTTCTTCTGTGCACAAGCCTTTTGCTGTTAGTAGGGGGTGTAAGTATAGATGGAGAGAAGAAAAGATGTTTAATGGATGTAAAATGCATTGAATCTTCCTTTAAATGGAAAGCAAAGTCCAGAGTTACCAGTGACAATAATAAAGAGTTAGAGAAGCTGATACTCCCATTTGGCAGGAGTTTCCCTTTGCAGTGCTGTGTTAGCATGGCTGGAAGGATTCCAGCAAGCATACAGGAGAGGGAAGTCTCTAGTTATGTGAGGTGCTATACCTTCTGCAATGCCTGTGATCACACTGCACCATGCAATCTCTTGTGCTTGTCAGATATGAGGTCCTTTTCTATGAAAATCTACTGTGAATTTCCTTTATGCACTTCTGAAGCCAGGCTTGGCTTGAGCTCTTCTCAGTGCACCACATTTTCTTTCCTACCCAGCAAAAAATGGGAAGTCTCCTTCTATGGCACTGGAGGATGCTGTGGGATCTCCGGGTTAACATAATGAGCTCAGTTTGCTCCTGCTTTCTGGGTGTATCCGGTCACTTTGCCAAGACTTTTTGCATGACAAAGAGAGCATGGAATTATGTTGACACACGTGTTGGGAATGATGGAAGTGATTGTTTCCCAACCTAATGGTTGCCTAAGTAGCTGCTTGGCTTGCTTCCACAAAGCACATGATGCAGCTTAGAAGCACCCCCTCCCACCTTCCCTTTGCCGTGTATCATTTTAAAGTTCAGATCACAAAGCAAGACCAAAAATGCAAGGAATCTGCAGTTAGATCTATGGAGGGCAAGAACACAGTTTAAGAAGGTAGTCACAGTGCTAATTTGGGTTGTTTTTTATCTCCTCTTTGTTTGTAGCTAAAATACAGTGTGGATCTTGTCAGACTTGATCAGGGAGTAGAGTTTCTTCTTTAGGCTGTGGTCTGATGTATTTCTGCTCTTGGGACTTAGTCTTCAGTGGTGCTAAATCAAGGTGCAGGATTTTGTTGGCAGATATCTACTCCCTTGCACTTGTACTTCTGTGGGATGGAGTGGGATGTCTCCATAAGACAGCAGGTGATGCTTGCTGTGGGGCAAAACCTGGCAGCAGGAGGGATGTACACTGCAGCAGCATGGGATGAAGTTTAAATGTAGCTTCCACCAAGTGCTCTCCTTCAGCCTGCTGTATCCCTAGGCTCTACCATCTCCACAGGGAAAAGGCAAGGGCACATTGCAGCCCCACAGCAGCCCTGCAAAGAAGAGGAGGCCAGGGTGCTCCCATGAAGTAGATGGCTCTCAACCAACTTTTCAGCAAGGCTGGCAACAATATCTTGCTGGAGCAAAATCCCCTTGCCAGTGCCTGCTTACATAGCAAATTCAGTACTTCTGTCTCTCATTCTGTAATGGGTAGATTTACTAGCTCGCTCTGCTTAATGCGTGCTTTTCCTGACAGATATCTTTTCTTTAACAAGAAAATGAATATTTCCTGCCATTAAGTAAGCTATAAAGTTTTTCATCACGATATTATTTTATTCATTGATTTTCAATGGGAATAAATTCTTCTTTGGGGGGATTATGATCCCCTTTTAATCTATTGTATATTGCAAGACCAGTGTTAACTATGTAGTTACTTTCTGATTTTAGAAGGGTTTTGAGCTCCCAGAATTTGAAAGGCTGCTTTTTCCTTCTACCTGTTGAATGGCTGTGGGTGGCTTTCATTTAAAGCCAGTACAAAATCCATGAAAATGAGCAAGAGCTTTCCATCAGCTTCGAGGATCTTTTTGTGAAGGCACCACTCCTGAAAATACGTTTTAGTTTCAGAAGCTAAAGTTCTGGTATTACTTTTCAATTGGGATTGGACTGCCACTAATAAAAATTAAGTTTTGTGATCTCCACAGAAAAGAATACTCTACAGTACCATAGAAGTCCTTCCCTGGAGCTGCGGTAGGAAGTAGTTGTCTTGGAACTGCAGTGGAACAGGAGAAAGTTTTTCACTCAGAGGGTGGTGATGCACTGGAACAGGCTACCCAGAGAGGTTGTAGATGCCCCATCCCTGCAGACATTCAAGGCCAGGCTGGATGTGGCTCTGGGCAGCTGGTCTGGTGGTTGGAGATCCTGCACATAGCAGGGGGATTGAAACTAGATGATCACTGTGGTTCTTATCAACCCAGGCCATTCTATGATTCTACCCAAAAGGTGAAATTTAGCATTCTGTGGGCAAGTTACTGAAAAAGAGCTGTGTGAAAAAAATTACCCTATAGAATGGCTGTTATTTACTTCTTCCCTACACAGTAATTTTAGGATATGTCAGCTTTTGGCATACGTTATATTTTCATGAAGGGATTGTTTCTTTTCTTTTCTTAGTTCCCAGCTCTTTCTTTTGGATTCCTTCTCTGAACCAAATGCTTTTTATTCCTGTTACTCTGTTGTGCGGCAAAACTTGATCCCAACTTGGATTTTCTGTTTGTGCTGCTGACGTTGCATCCCAGAGAACTGTAGCACTGAGCTTTTGCTTGAGAGCTGGTGACGGAATGAAGCAGAACTAGTTCATTTTGTGCTCTGCAGAACAATTTTCTAGATTCTCCTCTCCTCTCTTTGTTTCTGAAATGTTTTAAGAATTCCATTCTGTGTCTGAGAAACCTTTTACCAAATGAGTGTCAGTTGCAGGAGAAAATTTGATGGTGGTTATTTTTTTTGTGAGAAGGAGGTTTGGCTGAATGTCAACATCCAGAAGAAAACTGGGGCCAAGGTATCTTGGGGATCATTTGAGATTTTCTTTGTCTCAGCCCTTCTTGCCAACGTTGAGGTACATTTTTAGAGAATTTCTGAAAATCAGCATCTTACCATGCCCCAGGCAGGATATTCAAAAACACCTGGTAAGTCTGGAGAGTTTGGCGCACAGCATAAAATTCCTGCAGCAATAAAGAAACAAAGTTGTAAAATGGATGCCATTCTTAATCTTTTAGCAACTCTGTTAAACAAAATCCATATGAAGTTTCATCTCCGTCTTTCAACTCCCCTTCTGTATGCTTTATAAGCTGTAAATATTAGATGCTTTATGGAACGCATTTTTAAAATGATGTGCACTTGGAGCATATGCTGTTTAATTTATGTATGGGCCTGAAACAAGGTTAGCTTCTAATCTGCAGCTTTTGCAGCGAGGCCATAGAAAATTCTGCTTTCTGCTGGAGTTTGTGTGTTGTAATTAATAGAGTGGGTGGAAGGGTCATTTTAAAAACATAATCCTTTGAACAACTTTTTTAAAAAGCACAGTGCTGATTAGGACTTCTTAGCAAGGAATCCTACTCTCTGGTGTGTGTTAAAAGCAGGCTGCTTGGCAGGCAATTCATAAACCTCAGCACGGTGCCTACCCCCCCCCATCCCTCCCATTTTACCTGGGATCTAGAGCTCTCAGTAGAACCGAGTGGGAAATGACTTTTCCATTTCCAAAACCTTTTGGAGACGCCAACATATTTTGCACTGTGATAAAAACAAGGCTTGTTGACATCTCTGAAATCTGAAAGAGAAGGAGGTAGACACATGCTTACTTGGGATACAAATATTCTGGGTCAAGTTATTTTATGAGGAAACTAGAAAGAAGATTTGAATTGGCATTGCTCTCATCTCAAATAATTAACTTTGTTTGGGACATACTCTTTTCCTTTAAGTCTGCAACTAAAAATTTTCATCTGGACCCAGGGGGTCCCTTTTGGACTCTCTTCTAATGGAAACTGTTAGGATTATCATATAATGTTTTCATTCCAATTATTTCTTTTAATGGGAGATCTTTAAGGAAAAAGTTTCTTTCCAACCCTGTGAAGTTCATATGCCAACCAATTATGTTTTATCAGGTTATAATGGTTCATGAGTATCCAGTCCCTTTCTTAAAAATAAACCATATTTCAACAGAATATGGAAGAATCAACAAGTTCACCTGTAGGAAAACTATGTGGAAGATGGTTTATTTATCTGAAAATCTCAACACTGGAATTTCAGGATTAAAGCATGCTTTAATTAGCAATCTAATTTTTCATTTTCATGAGTGAGGACTAAGATCAGAAGAGAGCCATTTTACATGTCATATGGCCATAACTCAGGATGTGGGAGGGTTACCATAGGGTTATGTGCTGCTCTATAGCAGCAGAGCTGTTAGCATCTACATTGATGGCCCAACTGCGAAGCATTAGGATGCTAAAAAGATCTCCAAATTCAT